TACTGAACGTTTTGATCAAAGATTCTATAGAAGAATCCTGATCAAAAGGGGGAAAATGCAGAAGAGAATTTCAAATTCTCATGGACTCCAGACTTCCTGGAGCCAAGGGGCCTGGATAAACCTCTGAAACTACTGCCCTGAGAAAGTCTTTAAAACTTAAACCCAAAATATTCTCTGAAGTCTTCTTAAAACCAAACAATAGTTTAGCTTAACTAATAAAGAATGCCTACCTTGAGCATTATGCTCTTTTAAGAACTATCTATATGAGAGCAAATTGATAAGAGCAATTCAAAAGATTAGATAGGAACCTTAGGGGGTGGTGAGTTTACATTAATGGGTGGGGGGAACAACTCAGAAAAGGAAAGTGAGAATAGTTGTATGACTCGAATGTAATCAATGTCACTGTGTACATTTAGAAACTGTTGAATTGGTGCATGTTTTGCTGTGTATACTCAACAACAAAATAAATTTTAAAAACCAGAAGGCTGAGTTTGCACTGAAGGGCCATGGGATGGGGGGTGGGGGCATGAAGCAGGGTCCCTGCAACAGCCAGGAGCCTTTCAAACCAGCCAGACTGGCCAGCCCAGCTTGTAATGAGTGTTCTGCCGCACTACACGTGTGAAGGCTGCAATTTACACATTAGCTCAGAATAATCACTCTCCAGGCAGAAATGACATGCTGGATGGTGGTGAGCATTTAGCGGGATCCTCTGCTCACGTCAGCTTCTGACTCAGCACACCCAGCAGGCAGGAACGGCTTCTGGGAGGGGTGGGCATAACAGAGGGCCCTGGAGACAGGCCCAATGGCTGCTGCCAGGGGGATGGGTGAGGCAGTCTCTCAACATCACCCAGGCTTCCGGTCTGACACTTCTCCCACAGCACAGCCCTGAGCCTCTAACCCATTTTACAGATGAGAAGACTGAGGGCAGGGCCTACATCTATGGCCTGTGTAGCCGAGCCCAGAGGCAGGCACACAGCAGGCGTCGAGTAACACCCCCTGTACATTCGTGATGGCCTCACAGAAGGACCCTTACCCTAACCAACCCTCCACACCAGCACACGCAGCCCACACCTCACCCATCCGTGCCAGGCAGCAGTGAGGTGGTGGGCTGGGGTAGGGTCAAGATTAATAAACTGTAGACCAAATGAACGATGACCACCAGAGTCTGCAGCTCTGGCTCTGGAGCCCCTTCCCCACCATGGGTGCTGGGCTCAGGTACAGAGCATGCCTGGCCACTAACCCTCTATCCCTCCTTCCACCAACAGGTCCAGCCCTGCCCACACCCCACAGCACCCGCCAGCAGCACAGTAACCAACTGGGATGCTTCTTACTTTCCCATCCAGGTGGCATAGCTAGCGGGAAGCCTGAGCACAAACAGGGTCGACTTCCCGGTGTCGACATCAATCACGCCGTAGCAGCCTGGCTCGGTGACACCAAACGCCCAGTGAAAGAAGGACTCCTGGGGCAAGAACAAGAACCCAGTCAGCGGGACAGAAACACGGGGCACAAGGAGGGAGGCGGGGCACTGGACCAAGCGTCTTCCTACCTGTACCCCAGAGACCCTGCTCCTCCTGGAGACTGCCTCCCAGCCTTACCCAGTCCTCCCACTCAGCACTCTGCTCCCCGCTCCACTGCCAGGCTGCCTCTCTTGTCCCTCCACGAACTGGCAGGGGGCAGCCTGTGTCAGCTCCATCCCTGCTTCGAGGCTTCTCTGGACATGGGTTTCATGCACATGCCCAGCCTCACCCTCCTGCTGACTGCAGCCCCCATACCCGGCGGCCCACAACTGAACACCCCGAGACACGTGCACCCTCCAGCGTCACGGGTCCGGCTCAGCCCTGCCTTGTGCCCCCTACCTCCTTGCTGCCCACAGGCAGGCAAGACGCCACCTGACTCATATACCCGGGCCCAGCGTCTGCACTAAATCAATCCCTCCCTTTAGGACTTCTTCCTTCCTTCTCTCACCCCCAAGGCAACTGATGACGTCCGTGTTTAGCAATAAACACTGAGCTAAAATAACTTCATAAAGGTATGAAGTGGAGGAGGATCTCTTCTAAAATTATCCTCGTATGACATCAGTAAAGGAGCCAACAGACGAAAGTGGGAAAACGGTTCTTAAACCAGAGGATATGTAAACCTCAGGAGGCAGCAAAATAAACTTACTTAAACCTCCATGAAGGTGCCCTGGTGGTGCAGTGCTTAAGCACTTGGCTGCGAATCGAAAGGTCAGTGGTTCAAACCCACCAGCCGCTCCACGGGAGGAAGATGTGACAGTCTGCTTCCGTACAGATTACAGCCTTGGAAACCCTGTGGGGCAGTTTCACCCTGTCCTATAGGGTCGCTATAAGTCAGAATCGACTCGATGGCAAAGGCTTTTTTTTTTTTTTTAAACCTCCATGTCTCTGGCAGCCAGGGGGTGACAGGTTTGCAATCACCAGGCTTGTGGCTGCATGAACAAGGTGGCAGAGGGAAGGGGCCCTTTGGGCAGAGGTGTTTTCAGTAAAACCCTTAGCAGTCGTCCCCCGCAGTGGGTCTCTGTGTGGACACAGCCCGGCGTGGGAGACCCCCTCTGCCACCTCCTCTCACCGCTCGGCTCTCCCCGCCTCCTCCCGGCCTGGACAGCACGCCCGCCAGGCACTACCCGCCTCCAGGGCCTGGCGTTTCCACTGCGGCCAGGCCCAGCTCTACGTGTAGGAGGGAGGAGAAAACAGCACTGGACTTGGGGGTCAGAAGACAGGGTTCTAATGCCAGTTTTACCCTGGCAAGTCATTTTCCCTCTGAGCCTTGATTTCCTCATCTGCACAGTGGGCACAATGCTAAGGATCGAGGAGAGTGGGCCTGGCTCAGAGCCTCCCTGGCTTCCTGTGTGGGCCTCTTGGTGGGGTGTCCTTGCTCCTGGAGACCGAGCCTGCCATATCCATGCTGGCTTCTTGAAACTGAGCCACCCACCACCCCACGGGGTTCCAGAGCCTCAGGGAGTCCCTGGATCACTTCACAGGTGGTCACAGGGTCAGCACTGAGCAAATCGGGATGAAAGTCCGGGCCTCTGACTCCTGTTCAGTGCCCAGATGTGCCACCTGGCTCACACCCCACCCCCCCAGCAGACCTCTGTAGCCTCTCTTCCTGCAGCAAAAGCTGGCCCAGGGACTCAGCCCTCCCCATCTGCACCTCTGCTGCTCCCCGGCCGTGGACAGATGCCCACCACACTCTCTGCTCGCCCACTCCTGTGCACACCATCCTCCCACCTGTCAGAATTCACCCTGACCTTCAAGGCCCACAATGCTGTCTCCTCCATGAAGCCCTGCCTGCTTGCTTCCCAGAAATATCTTTCTGAACTCTGAACTGAGAGAGCTGAGGCTGGCTGGTGATAGCTCTGCCCCCAGCCATGGTTTGGAGGGCTCTGTCCCTCCTCCATACTACTCCTGCCTGGCATATGGACTCCACCAGGCCGGAGGAGGGCGGTCAGGCCCACAGGAGGCCTGCGCACGCTCAGAGGTGGGGAGGCCACCGGACAGGCTCACCTGGCGGAAGAGGACCCCGGTGTCGGTGCAGTAGCGCTGCGTCTCCTCCCCGCCCTGCAGCAGCACCACAGAGCCAGCCTGCACAGCCGAGTTCTTCCGCAGACGCTCACACAGGCGCCGCCGGTTCAGGCCGAAGAGTGCCAGCGGCACCCTCAGGGTTTCATTCCCCAGCCAAAATGAAGGTCTGCAAAGACATAAGGACACATGGCCAAGTAGGCCTCAGTTAGCTCCACCAAGCACTGCCCACCACCCATGGCCCTGAGACAGCTAGAGGGACCAGGCCACCGTGGGACCCCCACCAGCACATAGCAAGCAGCCTGAGCTCGACCTGCTTATGACCCAGAAATGGCCCATCACTGGGCTACCCGAGGACCACAGGGGCTGGTCAGCCACACCCTCTCCGCTTCCCCTGAGCACATTACCCACAAGTGTAGATGAGGGACAGCTGGGTGTGGTTAACCAGCATGGGCAGGTGAGGCCGGTAGAGGGAAAGCCTGTCATGCTGCAGAGAGATGCACACACTCAACTCTCCCCCTCAAGGAACTTCCAATCTGGCCCAGACAACACTGGATCCCTGCCCCTGGCAGGCTGCTCCTGTGTGCTGGCTGCTGCCTTCTCTGCAAACTGCAGAACCCTTGGCCTTCCTCAACACACACGTCTCACTCATCTACTGCTGCTACAACAGAGATACCCCAAGTGGATGGCTTCAACAAACAAGTTTATTCTCTCACAGTCTAGCAGGCTACAGATCCGAATTCAGGGCATCAGCTCCAAGTGAATGCTTTCTCTCTCTGTCGGCTCTGGAGGAAGGTCCTTGTCATCAATCTTCCCCTGGTTTAGGAGTATCTCAGCGCAGGGACCCCAGGTCCAAAGGACACGCTCTGCTCCTGGCACTACTTTCTTGGTGGAATGAGGTCCCTCTTTGCTCTTCTTTTTACATCTCAAAAGAGACTGACTCAAGATACAACCTAATCTTGTAGATTGAGTCCTGCCTCATTAACATCATAGAGGTTAAGATTTACAATAACAGGATAATCACATCAGATCATAAAATGGTGGACAACCACACAATACTGTGAATCATGGCCTAGCCAAGTTGACACATACATCTGGGGGGCACAATTCAATCCACAACAAGACACACAGGGCACCCGGCACCAGGCTGAGCAAGCCCAGTGAGGACGTGCTGAGTGGCCGTGAAGGACCCATGGCTGGACAGACTGGTGAGCAGCAGCCCCAGGTGTGCACACACTCAGGTAAGCAGAGGGCCGGTAAGGGATGGAGCTGCTGAGACCTCGCCAGGAGGCTGAGCGGAGCCGGGCCTGGCAGAGCAGGAGATGTGTCTAACCTCACACCCTGCTTGCTTCCGTTTCCACTGAGGAAACTTGAAGAGACAAGCTTATCCTCTCAGCACCCACTTCCCAAGTGCCCCACCTGCCTCTGGACCCTTCCATCTCAGCTGCTCCCCCCACCCCCCCGGCCTTCTCCTCCACTCTGTGCTGCCACATCCACTTTCCCCTCTATGGGATCGTTCTCAGCATCCAACCCATAGTCAAACTCAGTGCTATCGACTCGATTCCCACTCATAGTGACCCTACAGGGCAGAGGAGAACTGCCCCATAGGGTTTCCAAGGAGCGGCTGGTGGATTTGAACTGCCGACCTTCTGGTTAGCAGCCAAGCTCTTAACCACTGCGCCCCCAGAGCCCCTCTCAGCAGCCAGACGTACAGTAATGCCACCAGCTTAAAAAAGAACTTCCCTTGACCACCCCCTGCAAACCAAACCCACCACCATCAAGTCGACAGTGACCCCATAGGGTTTCCAAGGCTGTAAATCTCTACAGAAGCAGACTGTCACATCTTCCTCCCACAGAGCAGCTGGTGGTTTCGAACTGCCAACCTTTCAGTCAGCAGTCAATCGCTTTAACCACTGCACCACCAGGGCACCTTCTTTGACCCCTACCCCCCTCCTTTTCTCTCTCCCCTTTGCAGCAAATATCCTATAAAGAGTCACCCAAGCCCACCGTCCCAACATCTTCCCCTCAATCCACCCCAGTCAGGCCCCACCTATGACCACACTGCAGCCTCTCAGGCCACAGCGACTCCCACGCTGCTGAATCCACTGACGAGACCCCAGTCCTCGTTGGCCTCTCCATGCCCGTGATCCTGGGGCCACTGTCTGTGCTGTGACCCTGTGTCAGTCTCTCTCCCTCCTCAGCTCAGCCCTGGGACTTCTTCCCTAACCACACTGCCTCCCCCAGCACAGATAACCTTACCCCAGCCCTCCGCCTTAAGTACCCTCTGCACCTCTGGCCCATGATATCCCCTCCAGATTCACAAATCCCATGGCCCACGTGACATCTCCTCTCAGAGGTCAGTCAGCTCAAACCAAACAGGCACAACACAGCCCTAGACCCCTGCCTCCCTCCTCCCACCAAGTCCGCTCCCTACCCAGTCTTCCCCACCTCAGCCCAAGGAACCTGTGCCCTGGGAGTTGCTCAGGACAAAAGCATGGGGTCATCCTTGGCTGCTCTCTCATCCCACCTCCAGTCCATCGGCAATTCCTGCTGGCCCTAACCTCAATATACACCCAGAACATGGCCCCTCAGCCCCATTCCCAGGCCACCTCCCAGGGTGGTCCATCCCATCTCCCGCCTGGACACCCACAGGGATCTCCCAACTGCTCTCCTGGCCCAGCTTCTCCCACAACCTGGTCTCCACCCACAGCCAGAGTTATCCTTTAAAAACCCGAATCAAACCCTTCCCTCCATCCCTACTGCACTTAGAACAACGTACCCCCAGGATACAAGGCACTGAGGAATTTGGCCCTGCCCACTTAGCCCCCTTGCTCCAGCCACACAGACATTCTTGCTTTATCCTAAACACCAAGAACTTTCCCCCCTGAGAGCCTTAGCTACTGCTGTTCCCTGCCAGGAATGTACTGGACACCCACAGGGCTCGCTCTCTTTACGCCCTCTCTTCTGAGCAGCTCTTCCTCACCACCCATTTAAACCAGCCCAGCCACACACACCTTATCCCCTTACTCTGCTTCCTTTCTCTCTAGCGTACTCACCCCTACCCGACGCTCACCCCTACCCCACACTCACCCTACCTGACGCTCACCCCTACTTAACGCTCATCACTACCTAACGTTATTTATTTGCTTGTTGTCTCTCCAGCTAAAACGTAAGCTCTGTGAAGGCAGGGACTTCCTCTTGTTCCTAAAACCTAAAACAGTGCCTGGGACAAGGCAGATGCTCAGAATCTGCTGAATGAACAAATAAATACAGGAAGGCAGGACAGCCCAGAGCTGGCACCATCACAAGGCAAGAGGAGAGAGCCTCTGCCTGGGAACGGCGGTAAGAGGGGCTAACGGAACATTCCCTCTCAGCATGGTGGCCATGAAGAGGCCTCGAGCGCCTCCCGCGTGGGACCCTCAGAGCCCCACCACACTGACAGGGCAGATGGATGGAGGCAAACTAGTGGACCCCGAGACACACGAGCAGGTGACACCCTCTGTACATCTATCAGGGCGGTTTCCCTGGCTTCACTATTTAAGCCCTCCCCACCCCTGCTGCCCCGATTTATTTTCCCCTCAGCACCAGGGCTGGGTTTTCTCCACTGCCTTTTGGTTCCATTCTGCACCCTGCTCTGGGACCAGGAGGCTGCTGACACGGACGTCATCAGAGGGTCCCTAGGCTCTGGCCTCCAGGTGGTATTAGCCAATGGGAAAAGGAGAGTGGCAGGTGCGAGGATGGGCAGAGACTTTATTCCCTGGGCCTCCTCCCTGATGAGCCACGCCACAGCTGGGGTCCTCCATCCAGGGGGATCACTGCAGCCAGGCCGCCATTTGCCACCACCCAGCTTTCCCTGGTTCCTGACCAGCGTCCCTGCTCTTCTCTCCTGGGTTCCCTTCACCTGCCCACAGCTCTGTAAGCCGCCCTGCACTGAGCACTCGGCACTCCTCCCACCGAGTGAACTATCTGCTTCCCGCCAGGTCCCTGACGAGCTGACACAGATCACCTTTGAACAGAAATGTAGCATGGGCTTATGGGTGTTCACCGGTTGTCCGTCTCTGCCCACTAGAATGTAAACTCCATGAAGGCAGAGATCCATGTCTGCTCTGGTCACCGCTGTGTCCCAGTGCCTAGAACCTGCTTGGCACACAGCAGGTACTCGATAAATATTTGCTGAATGAGCCACTGCCAGTTTACACATGGGGTCACACACAGCTGCGCAGATCAGGAGTTGCCACATCAGCCCCAGTGGGGCAGGAAGCAGGCCTTGGAGCCCCAGGCTGGCCTCCCTGGCACGTGCCCCAGCACCCTCCTGGGTAGACACAGGCAGCCAGGGCTTCCTCAAAGCTGGGCTGCTTTTCTGCCACCGTCAGCCACAAGGGTCGGGAGAGGGGCCTCCTGAGAGGAAAGGGCAGAAGGGATGTAATGACAGTGTATAAACATGACTGCATCCCAGCTGGCCCTGCTGTCAGGAACTGAAAGTGCAGCCACCAACACCCACGCACGGGACCCCCACAGCCCTCCACACCCTTTCCCTTCACTCAGTGAAGCCCATGGTGGGGAGGAGCAGCACAGGGAAGAAACACATCTCTGCAGGCTCCCCAAGAGCACAGAAGGAACAACACCAAGGCCACTGCTGCAGTCAGCCTCAGCCACAGCTGTCCCAGATCCACGTGGGCCTGTCACCCAACTGCACAATCGGCTGAAAATGCCCAACCTCAGCCCACCCAGCCTGCAGAGCCTAGCCCTGGCCCCTCATCTCCCACCACTCACTCTCCCTCTGCCCTGGATTCCTTCCTTAAACACACCAGGTGCCCAGCCCACCTGCCTGGTAGAGCACCCTCACCTGGACAGCTCTCAGAAGGCTGGGACTCCTCTTGTTCCCAAGGCTTCTGAGAGGCCTAACTCCTTCAGGGCACCCAGACTGCCCAGGCCAAGACAGGACACCTGAGAAGGTGCCTCTGCTGGAGCAGTCAGCTGCAACTGCAAGGGGAATCGACAACGACGCTTGTCCTTCCATGGGGCACAGTCAGTACAGAGCACCCCAGGCCCATCCCATCCTGGGCCCTGGACATGGTTGAGCCATCAGGTGGGGCAACGTGCTGCAGTCAGTAATGACTACAGGCCACCCCCAGAATCAAGGTTTTCAGCGACATGCCCTTTGATTTCTCAGAGCATACACCAAACCCCCAGAGAGACTGGCAGCCCCAAAGCCAAAGCCATGACCTCTCCCTGCAAACCCAGCAAAAGCAACACCAGTAAAACATCTCCAGCTGGATTCTGCTTGAGCTTTTGTTAACAGGCACCTGAAATTTGAAAGGCAAACGCCATGTCATCCCCAAGTCCCAGCTTAAATAAGGCATGCTTGATTGCAAGTGGCCAAAGCCTATGCAACGCTCCATTAACTCCACGCTTTGAGGAAGAGCAGCAGAGGCTACCAGACCAGCAGTTGCCATGCATCAAAAAGGCCCACAGAGCAAGACCTCCTCTAGCAAGCCCCCCTCCCATCCAACTGCCAGGGCCCAGTAATCAATCTCGGGCAAGACTGGGTGACCAGGAGGGGGGCCAGGTCCCCAGAAAGGGTGTGATCCATGGCCCCTGCAATGCATTCCTGTCCCCACTCAGTCCTGTGCCCCCATCTCAGCACTAAGCCACCCTCTTCTCTCCCCCTCAAAGGCTACCTGCAAAGTTCTTACCCAAGGCTCACGGACCCCTGGGGATTCATGCACAGAAAACAGGCGCTCCGTGAACCTGGGTGGAAAAAAAATCCTATCTCGATTTTCTCTAACCTCTAATTCAAATTTACATTTCCTTCCAATTAGAATGTAAACAACGAACACAACAGCATCAGCCGTGCATGTGAATCCGTCACCAACAGCAACCACAGGTATTTTCCATCACATTATCGTTGCAATATCTCAAACTATCAGTTACGCTTCTCACTGCTTCAAAATTAAGGTGGTGATTAGACCTGCTGCTGAGTTTTATTATTTAATAGGACAATAAAGGGGTATATATTACCATATCGCAAATTTGTTTAACACTGTGTTAACTGTATTTCAGTATAATTGGTTTTCCTTGTAATCCGCTGTGTTTTATTTCATGCACTCAAAAACACCATGCTGAGAAGGGTCCACAGGTTCTACCAAATGTGGCTGGAGTCCCTAGCACAGACAAGAGCAAGATCCTGATCCAGAATTAGGAGCCTCTCCTGGATGGGGCCATACTGCTAAGCTTCTGGCAAGAGAGGTCAGCCAGGGACAGCCTGTTTTTTCCTCTCACCCCCTCAGCCTCAGCTCGGGACCCGGCACCAGTCAGCAAGGCCAGCTCAATCACCCCGGCTGGAGAGGGCCTCGGGCAGCTGGTTGGAGCCCCAACTTGGCCTCCCTCTCTTGAGGGGGTTTGAGAGGTACACGGGGACAGAGGCGGCTGTGTGGAGTCAGAACCAGGCCTGAGGGAGAGATAGGGGAGGGGAAAGGTGGCACTCAGGCACCAGCCTGCCTCTCACAGACCCACCCTGACCCCAGGTCAGCCCGAGGCCTCTGCTCCCAGAGCACAAGGGTCACATCAGCGTGACTCCTCCAGACACTTTCCCTCCAGGAGAATGCTGACTCCAGCATAACCTAAGACACAGCAGGTACACGCCCAGGTAGGCTCAGATGGCTCCTCCCCCCAGAAGCCTTTCCTGATGCCCATTCTCCTTCCCCCCAGTAAAGGCCTCCTGCTCAGAACTCCAGACACTCTCAGCTTTCCCACTGGCATGACACTTTTCCAAGTCTGCCCCTCACGGCTGGGTGAGGGGCTGCTGCCCTTCAGGCCTTTATCAGCATCCTTGGGCCCAGGGCCAGCCCATGACTGGTGCTCAGTGAAAGCTGAATGAATGAAAGGGGCTTCACTCTCAGTTAATCCACACATCCACTCCTGCAGCTTTCCTGGGAGACTCTCGGGGACTGCGGAAAGGGGTTGGGGGTGGGACAGAATTCTGAGAAGTAGGGTGAAGAAATATCTTTAATTCTTTGACTGAGAGGCTCCAAGGAGCTGCCTCTGCTGGTGACAAGCGAGCAGTGAGCTGCCCTGGGCGTGTCCCTGTTGTGTCCTAGGTGATGCTGGAGTCAGCATTCCTCTGAGGGAAAGTGTCTAGAGGAGTCCCCCTGATGTGACCCTTGTGCTCCAGGAACAGAGGCCTCGGGCTGACCTTGGGGTTGGGGTGGGTCTGTGAGAGGCAGGCTGGCCTGAGTGCCCCTTTTCCCTCCCCCATCCCTCCAAGTATGTGAATAATTATGTCAGGGGACAAGGACATTCCAGGGCCAAGAGGTAAGTGACAAAGGGAGAAGAAGGAAGGCAAGAGCCACATGGGGAAGGAGGTACAGACCAAGCTGGGAGGTCTCCAGCCAGTCCGTGGGAAGCTCAAAGCATGGCTCAGGGAGCAGCCAGGGCTCCCTCTCACTGAGTGCCATGGAGTGGGGGCAGGGGGTGATCTCAGAGCAGACCCTTTGTGGGACCCCCCATCTCAAACCTGGAGCCCCGGCCCAGGCTGGCAGGGTGGAGCAGGATCAACCCTGAACCACCCCCCAGAGGGGCATCTTACATTTCTAAGTGAATCTGAGATGCCAGTTTAGGGCTTTCATTGCCCCCAAATCACACAGGGCACACCCTGGCCAGCCGGGACTCTCGCAGGCCTCCTCGTCCCAAGCTCCAGTAGGACTGCACAGGCAAACCAATCTGACTCCCAGGCAGCCCGCGCCCACGGCCTGATGCCGTGATGCCTAGTCACGCCGGACACCCTGACCTGTCCTGTGAGTGCAGCTGTGGGGGCCAAGCTTTGCTGGAAACACACTCAAACGTCCTCGCTTTAAGGAAGCCACGGAGGCCCAACCCCAGGCTCAAAGTATCCGGCAGGGAAGCCCCATACTGGCCTGGGGCAGTTCTTCCCAAGGAGACCTTGTCAAGCTCTGGAAGTTTCCCACACTTGTCAGGTCTCTCTTCCAACAGCACACCTCTCTAAGACCTCTGTCGCTTCTCACCCCTCAACCACCCCTGCACCATGGCCCAGAGAATCAGCTTGTTCTCAACCTTGTCTTTGCTCGAAGAGCCCTTCTCCAGGATCCAGCCAGCTCCAGGCTCACTCCCATCTGATCACCTAACCTGGCTCCTCTGTACCTTAAGGATAGCAGCAGGCCTCAGCCAGGAGCCCTGAACCAAACTGCAGCCCCTGGATCTCTCTGTGGACACCTGGGGACAAAAAGACCCACATCTGGACACCAGCCTGCACCCACATACTCACTCTGCTCTTTAATGCAGAAGATTAGGGTTCCCTGACACTCACCTGGGCCTTTGCACTCACAGGTCCCTGCCTGAAAGATGTCATTGCTCAAGGACTAGCACAAATGTCATCCAGAGCTTGAAGCCTTCCCACACTCTCCCTGAACTCTGAACCCATGCCCCTCCATGGCACACACCAAGACCAGAGGCAGACACCTTGGATGACAGGGTCCCCTGTGTCTGTCTGTCCCAGTGGCCTCTAAGCACCACAGGGCAGGCCCAGCACTCTTCCTGGAATACAGCAAGTGCCTACTAAATGTTTGGCAAGTATGTTCTAAGCTCTCCCAACCTTGGAAGCCAATTGAGAGCCCATTTTCTGTTACCTTTCTCTCCATCTCTTGAAACAAGAGATGTATTCAGTCCACCAGTTCCTGGTCTCAGATTCCAATCTGGCACCTGGGGCACTGCTCCCTCCTACCTCTACTCCTCCTAGCTCCCAGTACCACTAGGCCCAAACCCGTTCCCCACTACTGGGCCTCCTCCTGAACCCAGATATAGCCCAGGGAAGTGATTTCTCTAAAGAGATCCAAGTGGATTAAAACCCTTCTAAGGCTCCAGCCCCTCAAGGCAAAGTCTGGAGAGGCCACCTGGGACACCAAGCCCAGGGAATCTGCCCCACTCCTCCCTGTCCCCAGCACACTCTGAACTGCTCGCTCTCTCAATCTTCGTTCCATGCTCCCTGACGTGAGAAACTAACCCCAACGCCTCAGTGGATCCAGCTATACACACTTTCTTCTACTAGGAACACCCACTCAATCTTTAATTCAACAGAACTTATTGGCCACCTACTGTCTGCAAGGTACTCTACTAGTGACGCACAGGGGGGAACCAGAGAAGGGTCCTGCCCTTACATTCTAGAAGAGAAGACAATGAACAAGTATACAGCTTATCAGGAGATGAGAAGAGCTGCAAAAAGTGGCATAGATGGTTAGGGAAGACCTCTCTGAGGAGCTGACCCTGGCCCCTAAGGGATGGGGGGAAGTGCCCCGCTGGGGAAAGGAGATTCCAAGTCCATCTCAAAAACCATCTCCCTGGGAAGCGCCCGAGTCCCTGGCGCCCTCGCAACGCCGCCTTCCCAATTAAGAGTTATGGCAGTGAACAAGCGTGTCGATCTCAGGCCCCCACCTCAGTCGCACACAGTCGGGGTGCCACACCCGAGTGGGACCGGAGCGCCAGGGAGGCCCCCAAAAAATGAGTCCGGAGCGGGGCTGGGGGGTGGAGGTGCAAGAACCAGCACGGACCACTGACTCGGAGCCGGCGTCCAAAGCCCCCGCGTTGGGAGACTGGAACCGCGGGAAGAATCGCGCTGTCCGCGGCCACACAGCGAGCCCGGCCAGGGCACGGGCCGGTGTCGGGGACTCTCACCCACTGCCCAGCCGGGAAGACCGCGGCTCCCTCTCCGCGCCCACGGGCAAGACCTAGGGAGAAAAGCAGAACTCACCCTGCGGCCGCCGCCATGTTGGCCCGACAAGGGTGTCACGTGGAGTGCTTCATCAGCCGAGTGCAGCTAGGTCGAGCCGCGGGAGCAGAGAGATGAGGGGCGGGGAGGGGCGGGGCCTGAGAGTGGGGCGGGCCTGAGGGGCGGGGCCGGGAGACCCTGCCCCTCCACCACCGGGCGGCACCTTAGGACAGGAGGGGCGGGGCCACGGAGGGGCGGGGCCAGGAGCCACAAGTGCGCCTGCGGCGGCAGGCGAGGAAGAGAACCCAGGTGGAGGCGGCATCTCAAGTAGTTGTAGGATGGAAGGGAGTGTCCCGGGGCAGGGTATCCCTGGATTCTAGTTCTGCTCCAACTCGGCGTCCCAGCCCGCCCGCCCAGGGGGGAAGGACACGTAGGAATAAAGACACTGGGTCGGAGGGGTGGCCTCTGACCCAGTCTAGGGTCGGGACAGCAGTGACAGCTGTTGCTTAAGAAGGGAAACAGCTTGACCAAAGGTCGGGGCGATTGGAGGAATCTAAACGCAGGAGAGGAGGTGCTAGGAATGAGAGGTGCGGCCTCAGAGGTGAGCAAGGGTCAGATCCTGTAGGGCGCTGAATCTGCGGCGGGATCTTTTTCAAGCTCCCTCAACTGCAGAGTGGAGAAGGACCTGGAGGAAGGGAGATCAGTGAGGAGGGCTGGGGAGAAGTGAGCACAGTGGGGAGGAGGTCGGGTGGGAGAATCTGGAGAGGCTTCCCCCTCTGTCTTGCTGTGTCTCCCACAGAGATGTCTTTGTGGGCGTGGCCCTCCCTGGTCCGCACGTGCGTCAGAGTAACAGTGATTAGCGACTGCTGACAACAGGTACAGAGGACTTAGAGTACCAGGCACTGGCCCGTATAGGTTGCAAATGTTAACTTGGTGGAATCTCACAGCAGCCCTTTGAGGTAGACACTATCCTTTGTGCCATTTTACAAATGTGGAAACTGAGGCCCAGAGAGGCAGGTAACTTACCTGAGCTCACGCAGCTCTTAAGTAGTGAGGCCAGGATGCAGACTTGGCAGTCACACCCCTGAGCAGTACCCCCACACTGCCCCTGTGAAGGAAGGGGTCCCAGGGCTGGTGGGTGAACAAGAAGTGGGGCCCAGCACATACCCATGGGGCTGCTGACCCCAGCCCCCAGCTGTCTTACAGCTGCAAGTAACTTCTGGTAAAGGGCTTGGATTTGGGCGTGGCTCTTTTGGAGCCCTAGTGGCGCAGTGGTTAAGAGCTCGTCTGCTAACCAAAAAAAGGTCAGCAGTTCAAATCCACCAGGCACTCCTTGGAAACCCTATGGGGCAGTCCTACTCTGTCCTGTAGGGTTGCTATGAGTTGGAATCAACTCGACAGCAACAGGTTTTCTTGTGTCTTTGTTGAGACAAGGATGTAGGTCTCCATGGCTGGGCTGGGGGCCACCAGAAGCAGCTGCTATTTGTCCCCACAATGCCAGGAAGAGAGCAGGCCCCCCGCCCCCAAATAGGAGGAGGAATTGAACCAGACCATAAGCAAGGTGGGAGACAGGCACGTGGTGTCAGGTGGCAGCTAATGGCGCCACCCTTGCAGGGCTGCTGTAAGATTTCTCCAGCAAATGTTGGTGGGGGCACCTTTAACCTGAGGCACAGCTACAGAGGTCAAAGCCATCAGGGGGGAAGGTGACACCTCCAGACAGCCCTTCTCACCTCCCTGGCCCAGCTGAAGCCGAGGAGAGTTGATGGAAGAGGGGAGCCCCCATCCTTCCTCCCCCTTTCCACTACACGCGCACTGCTCTGACCTCCAGGCCAGGCGTGCCCAGGAGGAGCTCTGCAGCCCTTCGAGGTCCCTGTGACTCCTTTCTCTTGCCCCAGGGGCAGGACCCCAGAGAGGGCCTGTCCGCCCTCTTGCAAGTTTCCAGAGAGGACAGCAGAGGCACAAGGCCCCTCTGAGGAACACAGTCCCCACACCCACAGCCTGGCCTAGGGCCACCAAGAACTTGGGCCCGATTCAGCAGTAGCTCCCCCATGAGCTGAAGAGACTCTACTCCCTAACAAGCGAGGCTTTTTAAAAATAACAAAGGATGAGCAGAATGAGTTTTCATTCTCTTTTGTAAAAGAAGGAAAACCTGCCCCTGAGCTAATCACAACCCCCCATTTCTTTTGACATAAACTATGCCAAGATTAAGCCAACTGCTAGCTCTGAGTGTTTATTAACGTGAGAAGGGAGGAATTACCCTAAACATCCACAAAGTACCAGGGGGAGGGGCCCAGCAACTGGGTGGGCTGCCCTTGTTTGTGGGCGGTAATAGGGAGGCCCTGCCCATGACTCCTCCCAGCCCAGGGCTGCCCCCACCCCATCAGAGGCCCTGGCAGAATTGTTACCCACTCACCCCTCCCCATCAGAGGCTCTGGCAGAATTGTCCCCCTCTCACCCCTCCCCATCAGAGGCCCTGGCAGAATTGTCCCCCCCTGACCCCTCCCCATCAGAGGCTCTGGTGGGACTGCCCGTCACCCCCCACCTTTATCCCTCCCCATCAAAGGCTCTGGCAGCATTGTTACCCCCTCACCCCTCCCCATCAGAGGCTCTGGCAGCATTGTTACCCTCTCACCCCTCCCCATCAGAGGCTCTGGCAGCGTTGTTACCCCCTCACCCCTCCCCATCTGAGGCTCTGGCAACATTGTTACCCCCTCACCCCTCCCCATCAGAGGCTCTGGCAACATTGTTACCCTCTCACCCCTCCCCATCAGAGGCTCTGGCAGAACTGTCCCCCACCCCTCACCCATCCCCATCAGAAATGCAGGCAGGGGCTCCAGGAGAAGCAGCCAGGGTATGGGAGAAGATTCGCAGTTACTCAGGGCGGACTCTGGCCGCTGCTGGGAGCTGAGAGGCCACTGCTGAGAGCTGGGAGGCAGCTGGGGAAAGATTGATTTTAGAGAGTCGGAGCGGAGTGGTAAATTAGCCAGAGGAGAGAGCACAAGGCAGCATACTCAGGCTGCGTGCAGCATCCCCTCTGAGGTCACAGGCCCTTGGCTGAAACCGTCTCCCCCCGTAGAGACAACAGGTGGCTAGGAGGTGTCTATGCTCAACCAGGCTCATGACTCCAGGAGCACCCTGCCCCAGCCAGAGGCCCACCAAAGAAACCTGTGTCCTCGGAAGGCCCCTCCTAGGGGCTCCTACGGCTCCTCTTGGCTCCACTGGCATTGGTTAGCTCCTGCTTTCGGTGTCCTCCTGCCAGGTGCCCTGCTCTGCCCACCCCCCTCAATTTAGCCACCACACCTTGGCAGCTCTGTGGACATTGCCAACAGCTGGCAGACCCAAAGCTGGTGACCAACAAGACAGCCTCATAAGCCACCCTTGGGGCCATGCAGGGATGTCCCTGCCATTTCTGCTGCATACTGAGAACAACGGTCAGCGGGAAGGCTCCGTGGGACCACACTGAAAGTGGCCTGGATGCTGAGTTTCCTCTGTCTCCAGCCACCAAGTGGTGCCAGCCTGAGACTGGCCACCCTGTAAGGGGTAAGGGGCCCAGGCCCTACTCTGGAGGCTCTCGTATCTGGGGTGCAGAGGAGATGCCCTCAGCGCTGCCCCTGAGAAGCCCCCATCTGGGACGGCCTCAGGACAGGGCTGCACGCTGGTATTTCCTCCTGGGGGTAGTGGGGAGTCACTGAGGGAGTCTGAGCAGGAAAGCAGGGGGGTCCAAGCCCACCAACCCAGCAGGAGCTCAGGATGGTTGGAGGAGACAACTGGGAAGAGCCCAGGGCTGGGCCCTGTGCCAGTCATGTGGGGGCACCAGGCACAGATGGTAAAATCCCTCCCAGGATGTCATTTGGGTTGTTTATTTGTTTTTGCTCAGAATCAGAGACTGGGCTCAGAGAAGCTGCACCAACAAGACTAATAGAAAGAACAGAGACAGGTGTGGGTGTGTGTGGGTTGAGATGGGGGCTGGGGTGGCCTGTTCCCACCGGACCTCCTCCCAAGTGGAAAAGGACAGAGCATGATGGGAATGCAATGCCCATGATGCTCTCTCTCCATCAGGGTTCTGGCAGATCCCAGGCTTTGGCCAAGTGGGATCCATAGTTCTCCCTCCTGAGGCCAGTGTAGCCTGCTCCCTCCTCTGGGGCCCCACCACACGTGTCACGCCATCCATCTGTCCCCAGAGGAGTCCTACCTCATGTCAAGCCCTTCCTGCCCTTCCTTCCCCAGCCTGGCACTCCTGAGCATCCTTCTTGCTGCAGAAAAGAGCGGGCGGCAGCTGCGGGGCCTTCCAAGGAAGCCCCCATCACTGCCTCAGATGAAGTGGTCCCCGCTGAGTGCTTTGCCAGGGTCTACGAGGCAATTCGAGATGAGAAATGGAACGGTGGCTTCCGAAAGGCAAATCATTCCAACAGCACCTTAAAAACCTCGAAGGAAACAAGCTCTTTGTGTGTGTGTGAGAATGGGGAATATATTGTTTTCCACTGTTTGCAAGACTGTTTTCCCATCTTGAAATCACAAGCTATTTTTTCCAGAGAGACATATAAATACATCCAATTATCGACATTCACTATAGGAAATGAAGTTCTGAGATGGTTTTCTTCCATGTGCTTGGAGTGGCCTGGCCAGGCTGGGCAGGTGATAATTACTTTTATTTCTGACTGGCTGGATCAGTGCGTAGTTGCTGGTATCTCCCCTTTTATTGCTTTCACTTTTATTACATTTCCCTTGTTGTGCTGGGCTGTTCATTGGTGTAACTTTATTACCACATTTCAAGGTCTTGATAAAAATGGATGAAATTCCTAATTTCAGAAGTAAGGGTGCCAAGTCCCAGAGCAGGGGGATTTGGTTCTGCTGCCTGTGTCCTGGAGAGAAGTCTCCCTGGGGGTGGACACTCCCCCTGCCCAGCCCCAGTTCATTGAGTGTGTCTGACCACACTGGGGCTCTCTGCTGACCGCCCCTCTCAGGGACTCCTTCAGCGTGGCGTTTTAAGGAGGACACTTTCAGCCCTTCATGAAGTCGCCCGCAGACTGCATCCCTAGTGGCCACCTATACTGCCCATACCACCATCACGACTGGGGTCACAGTTAGCTCCTCTTTCACCTTCTGCCGGAGTTTCTCCTGATCTCACCCCG